TAAATATGGTCCAGCAAGTTTTCTTTTCTTTACATATTTATGTTCCTATCTTAATAAATGCAAATGATGTAAAAAAAAAACTTTAGATACACTTACCACATAATCTCGTCTCTTGAAAACAAAGAAGATATTTTCAATATGAAAATAAATAGGTAAGAGCAAGGGTGGCCCCACTGAAAACAAAGCAATAAATTTGAATTAACATTCTGCATCTGTTTTATTTATTAACTACATTTCATTTGTTTGTTTATAAATTGCTTTACTGAGTGATGTGACATTACAATGCCAAAACTTTTGATTTGAACTTGTTGCCATGAAAATAAGGGTTCTTAATCGGACTGTTAAAATGGTGCATCTTTATCTTTCATACCTTGAAAATAAATATAATTCTAAAAATATAATTCTAAATGACTGCACTTTAATACTCCTAATTTAAAGAGTTCTTTTCTTACTTTTTAAAGACATGAAAATAAAATTAAGCTTACAGAAAAAGAAGTAACTATGTTGAAAGTTGTAAGGCATAAAGCCTAATTTTTTCTTTCCCCATGCCTTGGGTACATAATCTCCTAACAAAAAGAGATAAGCTATGTCTATATCAGGGTCCTTTGTCACAACATTTGGTTTAGCATGGTGCTGAAAATGACGGAAATTCCACCAATGAGATGAGGCAGCCTGGAAAAAAATATATGAAATAAGTAAACTGACAAAGTCAGATTTGAAGGCAATTAAGCTCAAATTAAGAAACATACAATTGTGTATTACAAAATTAAACATAGTTGGAAATTTTCTCACCTTGATATGCCCTATAACAATGTGATGAAATATATGGTTCATTTTGTGACTTGGGAAGACAGACATGTGACCATAATCATGCTGGCTCCAACCTGCTTGTGCCTGCAGTCAAAAAATATGTAAAATTATATACAAAAGAAATTCTATTAAAAAGATTCTTGGTGTCTTGCATACATTTGAGATGAAACTACATGAGTTTGACTCTTTCATAAATAAAGAGAGAAAAGATGTAACTATTTCATAAAATTGAGATAAAATCATAGCACTATAAAACATTTTTTTTTAGGGGGTGGGGGGTGGGGGGTGGGGGGGGGGGGTTAGGGACCCTCTTTCTCTTCTACCTTAATTCACATACATGTAATATTTTAAGTCTTTATGCATAATTCACCAGTGTTTACCTTAACTTTCATACGTACTGGAATTCAGCTTAGTTTAGAAATGAAATAAGGTGGATATCTTGCTTTCCTTTCAAGGTTTTGGTATGAAGCGTACCTGTGCAGTTGCCAAAAGAACTGCTGCAACAAGGAAAGCCCCCATGCTCCCCTCCCAATTCCAGACCACAAAATAGGCGAGGGCCTCGAGGGCCAGAATGTGGAGGAGATGGAGGATATAGAACGCTGGATTTATCTTCATCAGTCCACTGTCTTCTGCATACTTCCTCAGCTTACGGAAGTCCTTCTTCAGATCCGTTTCACACTTAAAAAAGGGTTAAAAATTATTAGAACATATCATAAATTCACAATGGAGGGAAAAAGAAGTCCAAAACATACATTTTAAAACAATTAATGTCACAAAATCTGAATCAATTTGATATTTTTTTATGTGTTTTGCAGTATGAATATAGTGGTCATACATCTTCCCAATCTTTTACATCTCCAACACACAGTGCTTTCATGAACTTGGATACATATTCTTTATCATTGTGAAATGCAGTCCAGGCATCCTGAAAATAAGGAAAATGAAATGAGATAAAACATTTATCTTCCACAAACAACAAAATCTGTATATTTATTCATATACTTCCATGAGCCATATAGATCCATTGCATTCTTTTGTTATGACTTTTCAAGATGTTTGGGAGGTAAATAGTTTCATCATAAACAGATCATTGTCCTATCTATGTACAAACAGGATGTACGAGTCTGTGTCGAAATACTATGAGGAAGACTGTATCTCTTATTTGCTGTGGCAAATATTAATCATCAGCAGAATTTTGTATTCTGAATTGAAATGAAAATAAATAGAGCCATTTTCTGTAAATTTGCATGACAAAGATGATATTTTTTCTCTCAATAATATCTATATAACCATGCCGAGCATGGTCAACCCAGCTGTCCCTGTACATCCTACTTCAGCATTGTGGTAATATAATGTCTGGTAAAATCAATTATCTCATGCAAAATTCTATTAATGAGTCTTGATTATAAACACAAGCTCCCGTTAAACACAGATATAACTTATTGTTACCGTTGCGTCTTCTCCAGCATAGTGCCCTAGGATTTTTGCTCCTCCTGGGTGTTTCTTCGCCCAACGACTGAGGTCGTAGACTTTACCATTTATCATTAGCCAGTTATCATCCCGTTTATTGTGCTGTTTTATTTCCTCTACTGTGTAGTATTTCGTAGCTTTCACCACGCTTATATCGTTGTATGCCTCCTTCCCCATTCTTTCCGGACGTGCCGGGTTTCATAAACGACCTCGACCTTTCTTGTATTTATTCATCTTAATCTTTCAAACGTTTAAATAGACCGAAAAGAATCACTTTCAAGCGTTTTCGTAACATTGATGCAAATCAGGTGTTTGTTGTTGCTAAGTGCATTTCATAAGCGCAGATTGACCAGATCGCATAATTTTGAAACTCAACACGTCTTGCTGTTACACACGCATATACAGAGAAAGAATATTTAAAAGAAGTTTTAATTTGACCAATGCTTTTAATGTCAGTTTTGGGTGTGATGTATTTACTAAAGCTCTGGCCTCCAAAATATAATATTCTTCTTGGGAGTTTTTTTTTCTTTCAGTGGCTAAATATTACACTGTCAGAAACGAATTTTATTTAGTTAGTGATTTCACCAATTATTTTATATGGTGTTATGAAATAATGATCGAGATAACGAACAGTAATCAAGCTCATTGTTCAAACAGCAGAACAAACATATATGGACCTCTAAAAACATCAGAGTTGGGATCAGGTGCCATAGTGGAGTAAGCATCTCCTGTCGACCGGTCACACCCACGGTGTGCTCCTTGTCATGATCGGGAAAACAGAAAAATCCGTAGACAAATTCAGTGTACAATGTAAATTATGCCTTAACAATAAGTATGAAAAACGTCATTCAGCATTCGACTTTTTTAAAAAAAAAATCTTGTTTCATCAACTAGTTTGTCAATAGCTTGCATCGTTTTAGAAATTGTTAGCACGTAGAGCATGCTCTTGCGTATCGAATCAACTGGAAGACATAAACCCTATATGCAGGTGATAGGGTGTAAATTGCTACATAAGTAAGGGAAGTTGACGTTATATAGAAAAGTTTTAAAGTCATCACGTTTATCATAAAGTTTCGTTTTTAGGTTACCATTAACGTCTTTTTCCAGTAAAATATTCAAATATGAAATAGATGTGTCAGACTCTGTGGTATCTTTTATTTCAAGTTCACTGTTATATATCGAGTCGACATATGCATGCGGGCACGTTTCAGAAGTGGGGGGGGGGGGGGGGGCAATTCAGCGTGTAAAACGTCAGTCAGTATTTGACTTAATGATAAATTGTATTTGCTGATAAGGTCGATAAGGTCATTGTATCGACCATAGAACTTACGAAATGACGACTTTAATCGAGACTGCTATATTCTTGTTTCATCAAAAATTACCGGTACCCATTCAGTCCCACATTAAGGCCTGAACCTCGGACCCAGGGGCCATGAATTTCACAATTTTGGTAGAAGGTCGGGTACTTATTATAAACATTATAAATATTCAGTCACTTTGCTGTATGTTGAAAGAGGAATTCTAAATGGAATGATCCCACCTTAATTCAATATATTAGAGAAAGAGAAAGTTTCCCCACTAATATAAGCTAGCACACAACGTGAACAGAAATAAGCTTCCGGTGCTGAATATTTCATGATAATCCTAACCAAGCATGCCATGTAATGATGTAACCCAAAGAAAAGAGCAACAAGTATGCACATCATGCACTATAAATGTATTACGACATAAAGATGTGCAGCCACAAGCAGCTGGGGGTAAAATAAAGAATGGAGATTTAGGGTGAGTAAAAAATATGTACGGATAGCTTGGCAAATGTCAATTAAAATGTTAATTCAAATTAAAAATTATATCCTTATTTCAAATTAAAAAAAAAACTAAAATAAAAAAGTGCTTACATCAAAAACATTTATGAATGGCAGTGATGTGGAATGAGGAATCGAAAAATTCATTTTTATTGTTGAGGCCAGTTGGGAGGGGGAAAAAGTTTTTTCTTTAAAAAAAGGGGGGGGGGTCTCAGAACTTTACATTTTATGCGGTAGCCATATCATTTTTTGGAATATAATAGTTGGTGTCTTGAAGACATTCAATAAGATTTCGGAATTTTCATCCTGGAGGCCAATAGGGAACCGAAAGAGGATGGGTTTTTTTTCTACAAAAAACATATTCCCAGAACTCGTCTAAACAGTAGCTAAATTATGTTTTGGGATATGATTAGTGATGTTCTGTAGATGTACGTGCAATAAGGTTCTGAATTTTCATTTTTATCCAAGAGGCCAATTTTAAACGCCATTTTCAAACACGAACCCCCTCTGCAAAAATTTTGTTAATAGAATTTATGCTTCGTTAATTTCAAAATGCTAATGAATTTATTATATGATATACAACATAAAATGTTTACCTTTACAATTGATGCTGAATTTGACACATGAGTATTTAATCATTTATGTAAAAAATTGGAATAACAATTGTAGCTTGTTGCTAGTTGCGAAGTACGAAGGAGAGTACATTTAGAGACAAACTCTTACTAGTTGGTATTGCTGTGTTATGACAGCACCCTGTTAAGATTGGCGTTAGAATTAAACGATGATGTTTAAAATATTACAATTTTTGGAGAGAAAAAAAACTTTTACACTAAATTTCAACGCTCTTGAACCCTAGAATCGCAATTTCAAGCTCCCAAGCGTGCCCTCCCACCCCCACCCCCCAGTTGTTTTGCCGATATATAGAATACTAAAGAAAACAAAACTACTTTATGTTTGGTGCCCCCTCAATAATAACGTCTGACGACCTTTTTTTTTTGGCTTGTCAAGGAATTTTGGTAGTTGATAGTCCCCCCCCCCCACAAATGAAAATGTATGGTTGTGCCCCCTCAAAGTGAAATTGCTTCCTACGGGCCTGTATTATTTAAAAAAAAGAATACGGATAAACTTTGACTAGAAAGTACTCAAATATGCTAGATACACATGTCATTGACTCGTTCGAATGCTTCTTGAAATCCGTCATATTTTTTTTATATTGACTGCTGAATCCTCTGTCTTGTCATCTCTGTTTTAACTCTGATAAATGTTGAATTGAACATATTTTATTGACAAAGTCAAAAGGATCGGACACAAGTTCAGGAACTTAGATAGTCTTCTCCTAATACAACATTTTGTAAAATTGCCAAAATAAAAAACATATATACATATGGTCTACTACATATACATCGCAGTAATAGAAAGAAAAAAAATAAGTTCTTTAAGTGTGCAAGTATAATTTGAATTGGTAAGAAGAAGAGAAAAAAAGGAAGCTTATTTTGAAAAACGACCACATTCATTTAAGAAAGTTTGAATAGTTTTGAAAAGTTCAGCATTTTGTTCAATAGTAAGAGAATCATCGCCCCATAGCATTAAATGTACATCTATAACATATAAATAATTAAATGACAATAACTTATTCATTAAGGAATTCCTTGCTTTTACATAATATTTACAAGCAAAAAACAAATGATATGCATCTTCTAGTAGTTCACAAGAACAATTAGGACTGGTTATTAGGTTACAGCGATATAAGTCAGAATTTAAAATACAATTAGGTCTTAATCTTGTATGAATTATGTTCAAAAACCTTTTTCCATATGAAAAATATTTCTGAGGTTTTACGATACTGTTGTGCAGATAGTTTTTAAAAATTTTGATAGAAGTTGCCTCCCTTGTTTTAAGACTAAGGGAATTCCACTTTCTAACAGTATCAGGAATAAATGATTTATTATATAGTTCTTATCTGTATTTTGGCAAAGAATAATTTAAGGAATTCCTGGTAGTGTATCCTGAAATATTGCCTCTTGTATCAGGTACTAAATTTTGTAAATAATTAGGTACTAAATTATTGTGCATTTTATACATTGTTATTAGTTTTGCTCTGTTTCTTCTGTATTCCAATGGTTTCCAACCTGTTTCCAAATATAATGAATTTCTTGAAGCAATAATCGTAAGTCCAGTAACTATTCTTGCAGCATATAATTGTACTTTTTCAAGATTCTCAATGTCTGTTTTTGTGCATCCAGACCAACCTTAAGCTTCAACAGCATATTCAAGTTGTGGTCTAATAAAAGATAAATACATCTGGGATAGAATATCTCTTGACACAGTAAATTTTAGCTTTTAAGAAGCCCCAGTTTTTTGTATGCTTTCTTTATAATGATATCAATATGATCAGACCATCCTAAGTTGGACGACAGAAGTATCCCAAGATATTTGTGTTTTGTAACATATTCCAATTGGCAATTGTCAAAAAATAATTTAGGAAACTGCTGCACATTTTTTGAATTAAAAAATACAGCTTTGCTTTTCTGTGGGTTAAATTTCAATAACCATTTCTTTCACCATTCATCTAGTATTCTAAGATCATGGTTAAGATTTTGTTCAATATGATTAATATTATCTGAACATTGTTGTAAGGAATTATCATCAGCATATAATCTACAAACAGATATCATATTTTCAGCCACATCATTTACATACAATAAAAATAACAAGGGACCAAGTACTGAGCCCTGAGGAACTCCAGCTTTTACACGTCTTACAGAGGAATAGTGATTTCTATACATGACTTGTTCTGTTCTATTGCTTAAGTAACTATCAAACCAATCTAGCATATCACCATTGATTCCATACATTTTTAGTTTGTAAATTAAGCCTTTATGTCAGACTCTATCAAATGCCTTGGATAAATCACAAAACACCATACAACAGAATTTACCTTCATCAATACTTTTTACTATAGAATGGTATGTTTCTAAAAGTTGATATACTGTGGAATGACCTGGTAAAAAACCTGCTTGATATTTATAAAATATATTATGTGAATACAGGAAATTGTATACATGTTTAAAAATGATTCTTTCAAAAATTTTGCTTATACAACTCAGCAAAGAAACTGGTCTATAATTTGTAGTGATGGAAGGGTCATCATTCTTAAATAGTGGAAGAACATGTGCTAGTTTCCAGCAGTCTGGAAAAGTTTTTAGTGTTAGGGATTTGTTGAATAGTATACACAAAGGTTTTGAGATAGTGTCTTTGCAAGATTTTAACATTTTATGGCTGATGCAATCAGCTTTATTAACAAATTATATCAATAATTTCCTGTTCTTGTATTTTTATATCCGGAAAATTATCCTTACATCTAGACACTATATTTGGGACCTCCTGATTACTGTCATATAAGACTGTAATTGAT